TAACCTCAATACCATTTTGTTTATCATTTGTTTTAAAATAATAAAATAAAATATTAATTTACATTTATGTTACATGTATAATGAATGAAATGTGTTTGGGGGGTGTAGGGGGCGGAGCCCCCCCACTTAATTTACTTATAATAAAAATTCTAGGGCTGAAACCCCCCTAACTTTAAGGGATAGTACGCCTATGGTGTATGCAATAAGCAATACACATAGAACATGATAAAAAATATTCCGTGGTTTAGACCTTGGTTAGTATAAAGTCTATCGTCTATGATGGAGAACAGGAGAACTATTATAGACATTATACTAAGTATAGTATAAGGTCTATGAGAACTTACTATAGACTAAATTAATTGTGGTAGATACTAATCATGATAAAATACTATTAATACTAATGTACCATACATCAATTACACAGAATTGTTCAATCGCAAGTTATTGTATAATAATATGTTGAACAGAAATTTGTGCATAAATGCATAATAGGATAACAGTGCAACCATTACATTGATACATAATTTGTAAAATGAAAAAATAATTATTCGAATTCAAAGTTTACAAGTTATTTAGTTTGTTTTTGTTTTTCGGTAGTTCAGATCATAGGTAAACAACTTACAATATAGGTAGTCCTGTAATTTGTAAACAAAAACCCAATCAGCTGATCAAATATTTTGGTGTCGTTTTAATCGTAGAACATTAATGTTCTATTTCTATGCTTCAATATCATTGTTATGCATTGTACCACAGATTATATATATATACCATAGCTTTATCTATGAACCAAGTACTACCCCATTTTTGTTATCACTTAAATAGTAAAAACCATATCAATTAAATTATTTCAATAATACATTTGATTTATTATAGGTACGAATTACGTATGCACGGAACTTCAACATATTTTAATAGATACCTAATAATTATTACATACACATTCTGTATATTTTCATAGTTATTTATTTGAATGATCAGTATGGCGATATTGGTTCTGTCCAATACATCAATCGTTTTCTAAAATTAATAAATAAGAACTCACTCTCTGTTTGTCGTAAAAGAAATGATGCCAGATGATAATCCCGTCAACGACCAGAGGATTTCTTTATTTTTGAGAAAACTTTGGACATTGGTCTGCAGTAAAGAAACTGATGATGTGATTACATGGAGCGAGGTAAATTTGTATATTTTTATTTATTTTTCTAAATGATTTATAAGCATTAATTATAAACTTTATTATTCTCCCACAGTTGGTTATTTCTGCTGTTAATAGGTACTTATATTAAATATTTGAGTACTTATAAGTTTTTATTTTTTAGGATGGTGACAGTTTTATTATAAACAATCCTGTTGAATTCTGTAAGGTTCTACCAAGATATTTCAAGCATAATAACTTTATGAGTTTTGTACGGCAGTTACACATATGTAAGTCACTTTATCATCATTATCATAAATAGGTAGGTTCTCAATGCGTTTGAAGTGAAATAAATTCAATGTATTGTCTGTTGGTAATGCTAATAATGATTTTTCATTTACTTACTATTTTAAACAAATTGCCTTATTGTTATTTAAATTTGTTTTAAACTAAATATTAATGTTAAAAGCACATCAAACCTGACAATTTTAAAATGCTAATAAACTTATTGAAAATATGAAAAATTCTCAGGATATCATCTATTGGTAACTTCCCTTTCCTGCCAATAAATCTACCTCCAATTTACTCATTGTGTAACTATATAATTACAATTATAAATGTAAATAAAAAAACATTTAAATAAAAATAAAAAAGAATTTAACGAAAGGCTATGGGACCGTGGATAATATTCTTATTTCTTACTTTTTAATCTGGTGATTGGCCAATTTACTGAGAAAGAACAGATCTTATAGATATAATGTCCTCTTATTGCATTGACTAATGTCAGAATAATATAATAATATAATATAATATAATATTTATATATTAAATTATGAACTTAGATTATATCTATTCTAATGGTTAGTTAGAATAGTTATATATTTCTATTCAAACGTCAAGTTTAAATTTGAATATCAATTATTTTCTTAATTAGTTACCTACACACTGTTTCATTTATAAGTAATTTTGGGTGACTGCCCATTATTATTCAGTTTAGTAAGATCTTGTGCATGGATTAAATCGATTTTTCTAACTTTCATTTCCAACATTCAGTCAAATAATTACTTTACTTTATTAATCTTAACAAAATGCAAGATAGGTGGTTGTTAAAATAAAGTGGAACACGGAAATTAATTTTACTGATTGCTGCCATCTTGTGCATAAGCCCACTGTCTGAGTTTTCTGATAAAACTTAAAAAAAAATACATTTTTTCATAATAACTTAAATTGTATAGTATTTTTTTGAATCTTTGACTCAATATGACTAACTATCTAAAATAACTTATTTCCGGGCTTATTTCCAAATTTTGATCAATATAAAGAATGATATAATTTTTTGTTTTTATTCTACTTTAATATATAATAGTATATTTTATATTTATCTTATAATTTTAGATGGTTTTAGTAAAAGAATATCTGATGTTGATCACACATCTAATCATGGAACATCTTGTGAATATGCTCATCCATATTTTTTGAAAGAGCATCCTTGTTTATTGTTATCAATTAAACAAAAAAGAGGGGACAAATTRGTGAGTAAATATGGTGGCTATGAGTTATGTTATGACTTATGATTATAGAATGTTAAATATATTTCTATTTTTATTTACAAATTAAATAGCATCAAGGCTTAAAAACCGACATTGATTCAATTGAAACAATAAGTACACTATTGAAAGAAGTGAACTCAGTTAAAGATAAGAATAAGATGCTTGATTCTAAATTTACTGCTATGAAACATGAAAACGAGTGTTTGTGGCGTGAATTAKCAGTTATTCGACAAAAGCACATGAAACAACAAAGAATTCTCAACCAGGTTTGAATTGAATGACATAAATGATTATTCACTAGTTAACAACCACTATTATATAAGTTATTTATATTATATTAAAAATAAATAAAAAATGSTGTATTATATGGTGACTATTAGAATTGTATCTTCTTAAATTTCTACAAATTGAATCTTCTGAATTTAAAATACCTCCAAATTGTGTGACAAGTTAGTTACTGAGAGTGTCTGTTGATTAGAAAATTGTCCATTTATGTTTTAATTTTCTTTCAATTACTAATATACTTAAGTTATAAATAATATTTTTATTAATGTTACATAGAGCTTTATATAAAAAGTTATTCTATAATAGTCAAGTTTCCATTTATTTCAACCATTTATTTAATATTTTAAATTAATGTAATTGTCACTTATATATTTTTATATTGAGTGGTAATAATCTATTACTATTTATTCACTAATACAGCCAGTTGACTTGAAAAACTAGTTTTAGAAGAATATATGATAATATATAAAACGAGTTAAGTATTCTATCATCAATCTATTATTTAGTGCCAATATTCTAGTCATAAGGATTTAAAATAAAGTGATAGTTTTTTTTTTCCATTATTGTATTACTTAGTATTATTTTAATTTAAAATAAAGTGAGTAACACACACACAAAACCCACCATATTAAAATCAATACATTCATCATTTGCTCTATGTMAAAAATAATGTAAAGGATTTATATTTTAAATGTATTATCACGATTTCTTAATTTAACATTTTTTTTTGAATATTAATAGCA